AATATATTTCAATGCCACCTCCATTGCAGCCCTCGCTTCGGTGTGGCCGACTTTTTCCTCTTCGTCAACATCATCATCATCAGTGTCCTTATTTTCATAGGGCTCTTCATGTGTTGCTAGTGTAATTATTTCGTCGTCTGTCAAAAATTCGTTCCTCGTTACAGTTCATCCATTCTTCAATATCTTCGACCTGCAATTGGACATTTTCGGATAACGTTTGGAGATCTTCTTCAGAAGAATGGTGGTAGAAAATTATCTTCTTCATGTGACTGTTGACCCTCAACAAGTTCCTCAATGTTAGCTAAAACTTTATGCCACGACTTAACGAAAGTAGAAGCAGAAATGTCTTGGAAGGCGGAAGCTAACATGTAAATTACGTCCTTTAAGTTAATTTTTTTAATGATATCAATAAAATTGAGGTCTTCACTTTCTGCGCATTGTAAAATTTCGGACAGTAATTTATGTCTGTATTGTCTTTTCAAGCTTTTAATCAGCCCTTGATCCATCGGTTGCACCAAGCTTGTCACATTAGGAGGAAGAAAGATAAATGTTATGTCATCTGTCTCACATGTTAGGTTTCCAGGATGAGTTGGAGCATTATCCAGAAGTAGGAGTGCTTTAGTGGGAAGATTTACGGTCTTAAGACGGTGCGTTACTCTCGGAACAAATTCACGCTCAAACCATACTTTGAATAGATCAGCGCTCATCCATGCTGATTTTTGTGATCTGTAGAATACGGGGAGGAACGATGGATGTAAATTTTTAAATCCACGCGGTTTAGCGGACTTACCAACAACGAAAAGAGGAAATTTGTGTGTTCCTGTTGCATTTGAACAAACAGCAACTGTAATGCGTTCTTTATTCTTTTTAAATCCAGAAGCCGATTTTTCATGATTTCCCAAAAATGTTTTTTCTGGAAGCACTTTAAAATTGAAACCCATCTCATCCATGTCATATACTTGTTCAGGTTTAAATTTTTCTATTTTTATAATTTCTACAAACTTGGAGGTACAATCAGTTGCACCTGAAGCGACCACGGACATTTTTTCTCCACTTACGTGTGCATAATTAACTCCGTGACGTGCCTTCCAGCGAGTCAGCGAACCTTCACTTGCAATAAATTCGCCTCCGTCTATAATTTTGCTGTATATACATAAAACCTTTTCTCTTAGAATCGGGCCACTAATAGGTGTGCCCCTTCGCCATTCTTGAAGGAACCACAACCAAAGTACCTCATCTACTATCTCGAATTTCGTTTTTTTTTAGTGCATCTAGTTTTTAGATTTTTATCGGATTCTATTTGGACGCAGAAATCCTCGATTAAACGCCGATCCCTTCGCCAGTCAATCACTGTACTTTTCTCCACATGCAACTCTGAACAAATTTTCTTTACCGATTCACCTTTGTCGATCCGTTTAAGCACAACTAGACGTTTTTCCATCGTCACAACCACACGTTTACGCTTCTGTCATTTTCGCACAAGACGAATTCAATCCTCCTCTAAACCAAAAACAGAATTGACAACCAGGTGCGACAGACGATCATCAAGCGACGCTTGATGATCGTCTCGTACGCAAAACAATAGGAAAGGGGAATGGCCGGTTAATACGACGGTCGGTTAATGCGGGGCCGGTTAAGAGGGAGTCTACTGTGATTAAAAAATTTCCTTTTTACGTTGAACCTACCTACGTTTTCTTGGTATTCGACTAGTTCGACAAAATTAGAATCGTGTCGACAGCTGATTCAAATTTTATATCGCGTCACAGCATATGGATTGCAGTAAAAAAACCTAATCTAAATTTCGATGTAACCGATAAAATTTCTGAGCGCGATGTACGATCGAATAATCTGAACACGCTCATTTAACACTATGTGGCACTGACCAATTCGACATTTTTATCGATTCGAACAAAAATTCCAATCTCGAATAAACGCCGTGGTAAAACATGGTAGTCGTATCCCGCGTATAGCGTTATACCCATCGAGCAATAAGACAAAAGAGGGAATCTAATCCTTATGAAAAGGAGACCAAAAAAGTGGCCTCTGATGGCGGACATATCCGGAAATGCGAATGCGCCAAATTTAAATTTTCCGACACTTATCAACAGTAGCTATATAATATTTCGCAGAATGTGTCTTAGACGAGAAAGTTTTAATTAATTATTAATGATAAGAGTCTAAAATGCGACACAATTGTTAAAAAACTTCAATATAAATAAGATTTCATGTGACATTTGGGACAAACAATAACATAACCCAACTAAATTTGAGCAGAGAGACTATCTTTCCTTGTTTAATGTGGCCTCTAAAGATCGCACTTCCTGTCTAACAATATATTTGCCCCCACTACCTTTACATTCTCTCTATTGTCTTTTTGCTCGATGGTTATACCGTACGTTGCATATGACAATATTTGCACGTTGCGTTCACCGTCTTATATGAGACCGCATCCATAGTTTATTATATAAAGCATACAGACGTGATGTATGGCGTAACGCTGTATGACGTTTATTGGAGACCACCGCCTAAAAAGACAGTAAAATCTGATGAGAAGTAATACCAGCGTTAAGAGAATAAATATAATACTAAATACATTACTAGGATTAGCAGACAATACAAAAAAATGTAAAAATATAATCTGGTGATATTTTGAAGGGCGTTTAATATTGTCTCCAACTAGAACAACTGTAGAGAATTACCAGATAAAGATAAGATAAGAAAAGAGGATACACAAGAGAAAAAAACGAAGCCACCTAAATAAGGAAATCTATAGAAAACCTCAACAGATATAAGGAATTCAGAGCATTCTATAAGACAGTTAACATCAACAGAAAAGAATTCAAGGCAACCACAAGACAATGCAGAAGTCAAAATGGCGACCTATTAACAACAAGGAAAGATGTATTGAATAGATGGGTAGAATAGTTTAATCAGGCAATAAAGAGGAGGAAGAAGAAAACCTGGAAGACGAAAGAGATTTGGTAAGGTGAATAGACGAGAGGGAAGAAGAACCACCAACAATTCTTAAAGTTAAAGATGCAGTTAAAAAGCTAGCCTGAAACAAATCACCAGGAATAGATAATTTCCCAGCTGAACTATACAAAGAAGGTGACCATGATACCATAATGGCATTACAGCAGCTTATAAGAGAAATATGAACACAGAAATCCCTCCCCAATCATTGGAATATTGGAATACTTTGCACCATACACAAACAGGAGATATCTTTGAATGCTCTAACCACAGAGGAATTACTCTTCTAAATGCAGCATATATAATATTTTCCACCATATATGCAGAACCGATAGTAGGAAAATAACAGGCAAGTTTCAGAGGTGGTAAATCGAATTGCAACCCTGAAACAAATTTTGGAAAAAAACATTGGAGTATGACATTTATACTCATCACATATTTATAGACTACAAAGTAGCCTACGAATCTGTGAATAGAAGAGAAATGTTCAAAGCAATGAAAGAGCTAGGAATACCAAATCAGTTGGTAAATTTAACAAAACTCTTGAAAAAAATGTTACAAATCACAACCACTGGTTCAATATATAATATGATATCGTTATATCAGCGATCATATGATATCAGCGATGATATCATTCATCGCTGAAACAAATATTCCACAGAATATGAGGGATCACATTGATTTAATCAGACTGATTTCTCAAACCGTATCTTTCTATCAAGCTCATTGCCATAGAGTTTTTGAAGTATCAGTATTTTATAAGTATAAATTCGTTTTTAATTTTATCTTACAGTCTCTCGTGACATTCCTGTACGTTCACCTACTGTTCGCAGGAACTAGTGGGCTCTGCAATAAATGTTTCCAAACTCTCAAATTTTTAACTTTCTCATTTAGTTCTTGCCGCTTATTTTCTCATTTATTTACAACCGAACTACTTTCAGATAACTTTGCACCAAGAGTGCCACCCTTATGCAAACTTTCCAACCTCTCAACCTGGATACGCAACCATCATCGGTTGCTTGTTTCTTGCGAAATGGGAGATTGTTGCAGACATTTCATCAAAATCACATTTGGCATTCTCGATACTTCCAAGGTAGAGAACAATATTCCACATGACTCTTATAATAATGACACATTATTTGTGGACTATTCTGGACCATCCTTTTTTATCTCATGTACATTTTATTCCAATCCAACAAATAGGGATGAAATGGTGTCAGGAAAGGCAGTACATCTATACTTACTAGGCAAAGACTATAATCCCCCACAATTCGCCAGCTATCCGCACCACTTGGGCAATACTTTTCCCCCTGGGCACAATAGTGTTACTCTTTATAGCTGTAGTAGTGACTTAAATCTCAGTTTGAACTTTGATAAGGTCGAGTTTTCCAGGACCATATAAATATTAATTAATATGTAACTACTAAGCCATTGAACTTTTGAATTTCCAATTTGTGTTTTCAAGATTTAAGTGTTCAAGACCAGTGCTAAGGCTATCTATTATATCTATTATAGCTACTATTAGATAACAGAAAACTTCAGTACAATATTTCTTGGTATTAATAGCATTAGAGCAAACAATGGAGCACTGAAGACTTGAAGGAAAAGAGTTTCAAACTTAATCAATTAGGTCAAATATTATCTAGAAATTGCATTTGAAACTGGTGTTAATATTGCGCAAATAAAATAAGGAGGTAAGTTTGGATGAATATTTTGAAAAGTAATAGTATAATTATTTATGATTAGTGCTAGAGAATATTGCGGAAATGTATGAAGATGTGTGCAACAGAGTTAAACCAAAAAATGGAAGAAAGCACACTATTAAAATGCAGATATGATAATTCATAGAAAGATTAAAGAAACAAAAAATTAAAATAAGAATCAGTATGTATTGTTTATGTATTAGATGACAAGTTTATTAAAGATATAAGCAAAGAGAACAAAATAGATCTAGGGAAAACAGTTAGACATGGTATGTTTGTGAAGAAGATTAATATCAATATCACTCAAGATAATAATTAACTTACCTATGACCTGATAAATTAATGTTCATCAATTGTTCTTCCAGTTTTGATATTCTTTCATTGTTCTTATGTTTTTCTGATAGAAAATGCATGTGATTCTGAAATAAAGAAATAAATACTTTGTAGAAAAGAATAGAAGATGAGAGAAATAACGTTATATAAAGAATAATAATATTCAAGCATGTAGTTAATCATATTTCCCTTAAGTTCAAAAAAGTATTTATTCAAAAATAGTACAAGATGTCAATGTTAGAGGCATTTTTACTGGGTATTGTTAATTTGATACATTCTGAACAAAAAATCTCTCATTGCATATAATTAAGTATGGTTAGAACAATATGTAGAGGATTTTGAAAATATTAACTTATATGTGATTAGTGAGCATTTGAAATAAATAGTTCAATTTTTGACAAAAATTTGGGACAATCATTTCTTAATAAATAATGGGAATTGACATATCTAAAATCCTATTTTTCTTCGGAATGTTATTTTAAAGATATGATCAAAATTTGAAGAGAATAGAATAAAAATTGTTGGACTTTTACTGAGTACCATTTTAAAAAATTATTTTTGTAGAGCAGATTTAAATTTTTGAGATCTTATGAACTGCTGCTATATTAACGCACTTTTGTTTCAAAATGCTTCAACTAAACACAAAATCCTTCAAATATCTGTTAGTATATTATAGAAGTTGGAGATCAAAAGGAAGGTTATTAACACTACCCTTCCCAGAGGTATTTAGGTGTCTTAGGGTAAGTAGTGTGCCCAGGAAAGGGATTTTAATTTCAAATAACAAAATATGTAAAGGTAAGTATACAAATTTTCCCCCTTATTCTAGAAAGTTCAAAACATTTTTTCAAGCCAATAACAAAAAACCGATTTTTGAAAATTCTACATGGCTCTTTAGAATTAAACAAAGAAAATTGCATAAATTTACTTTAAATATATTGAGATCCTAAAACAAATAGTTTAAATTGCCATCATAAAAGTAGAGAGTTACAACCTGGTTCTATCTGATGGCACAAAAGACATTAAACTCCCATTGCTACTGAAAACTGTGTACCTTTGTTAAATGTTGGTTTACTCCCACCAGTAATTTGAATTGTGCCTATTAAACATTCCGTTTTCTTGTAAATTTTAATTTGTCGTACTATATATTTTTCAAAAATTCATTACTTTCTTGACATTTTATTCTTACAAATTCTATTCATTTATTATAGTCGGTTTTCTTTAAACTTTGAACAATGGTGTAACGATAGGGATGAAAATTTTGTTTTTCTTTTAAATTTGCTTTTACAAACGCCCGGATAAGCAGCATAATAACTAAGAATATTAATTGTATGATCATTATTATCAAAAATGGGCTTCATTTTGTTAACTTTTTAATAAAAATAGCCAAAATGTATTAAATTTTTAAATAATCTCTTCACACAATCACAGGTAGTTTGTGATTCATTTGAATATCTTCTAATAAATAACGCGCATGTTCTAGTAATAACTATCACATTCTCCATGTACTAATTTATGCATTTTTCATTGTTTAATTCTTAACATCCTAACACTTATAATTTTGCAAAAGTGCCAATAACCACAAATAAAATACAATTACTATAAATTCATATGCAGCCTACTAGAATAAAAGAATAAATATCTTGTCTTTAACATTAAACCATAATTATCTCCAAAATTATTAATTTTAGTTATAGGGAACCCTAATGCTATTTGAAAGACAACTGATTACTGCTTTTTATTAAAATTATAATATACAGGGTGTTTCATTTTAATTATTGACTTACTCTCATTTGAAATTTAAAGAACTGGTGTATCATTTGTGAACACCTCATAATTAGCAATTTGATTTTGATATGAATTCCTGAAAGAAAATTACTTATACTTTGTATGCAAAAGTTTTCTAGGCATTATGTTTGTAAATAAATTAGCTATTAACTTTTAATTTTTTAATAACTTACGTTTTGCAGACGATACAGTAATAATTACGGATAACAACAATGATTTACAGAACCTAATGCAACGCCTTAATGAACGCTGTCATGAGTACGGACTGAAGATAAATTTAAAGAAAACTAAATGCATGATCATGACTAAATCTGCACATGCAAATATCCAATTGACTATTGAAGATATTGCAATTGAGAATGTTAATAACTATAAATATTTAGGAACATGGATAACATCAGATGTAGACCAAACCAAAGAAATTAAGACACATATTGAAATAGCACGTACATCATTTATTAAACTTAAAAAGTTTCTTTGTTGTCGGGATATAAGGTTAGAACTACGCCTGAGAATGCTTCGATGTTATGTGTTCTTTACTCTTCTTTATGGTCTGGAAGCTTGGACACTAAAACAAGTTCATCTGAATAAGCTGGCCGCCTTTGAATTTTTGTGTTACAGAAGAATCCTACGAATATCACGGATTCAAAGAATGTCAAACATGGAAGTAACTAGAAGGATAGGAAATGAGGCGGAAATAATATTAACTATTAAAAGACGAAAACTTGAGTACTTGGGACATGTGATGAGAGGGCAAAAATATGCATTATTACAACTTATTATGCAGGGCAAAATCCGAGGAAAGCGAAATGTGGGAAGACGAAGAATATCCTGGCTTAAGAACTTAAGGGAATGGTTTGAATGCAGTAGTGCAGAACTTTTTAGAGCGGCAGTCAACAGAGTCCGCATAGCCATGATGATTTCCAACCTTTGATAGAAGATGGAACTTAAAGAAGAAGAAGATTAACTTTTAAAAGTTTGATTCTATCTGTTATTTGACCTATGATACTTTTTACAAATTTTATCTATAATTTTATGCAGAATCTAAAAACACAATAATATACAGGGTGTTCCATTTAAAATAATAAAATTACTCTTCACTTCGGGTATAACCAGAAGGAGCATGTCTGTAAAAATAGTTTCTTTAAGTTCGTCATACATTGAAACACCCCATAAACCAACTTTCATAAATATCGTGTAAGTAGTTTCTGACATATATACACATAGTGTAATACACACCATGCATATTATGTAGAAATAAGATATCAAAAACTAAAGGAATAATTAGATCAGCTGCAATGCTTTAAATATTTTTTAAAGTCTCAAAGTATGTCTTAAATCATATACCTGCACACAATTTTGTTAATATATAAGAAAAAAAACAATATTTTAATTGTAATGATTACTTACCAAACCTAATTGTTGTTGCTGTTCTTCTAACATATGCTTAACTCTAGCTAAAAAAGCATCTTCTCGTACCCTAGCTGCATCCCTAACCTCCCTTATTATATCTGCTAATACACCAGGCTCATAATCTCTATCATAAGGCTTAAAACTATTTTGTTGCTTCAATAAATTAATTTCTACTTTTAGCTCCATAACTTCTCTAGATAACCGGCGATTACTGTCTTTTAAAGAGTTCATTTGAGATTTTAATTTGTGTATTACACTGTCTTCTACAGAATTTGTACTTGAATCACTATCATTGGGCAAACCAGGATCTGAGAAGCGTCTCTTCATTGCAACTTCGTCTGGTTGCATGTGAGCAGCTGGTAAACTTGAATATTCAATATCTTCATTAAATTCTGAGCCATGAAGTGTTTTTGGGGTACTCATATTAGGTAAAAAATTTCCACAACTTAAAGAATGATTGGACAAAGACATCAGCTGCTGAATGTTCATACCGTTTGTGACTGAATAATTCGACACATTTGGTAAATTCAAGTTGCATGCGTGGGAAGGCACTGGTAAATAGTTACAATGAGAAACTGAGTTCAACTCAAAAAAATTACCGTTTTGATTGAAATTCTTTTTCTGATTTTTCTTACGGCGTACCACGCTTGGAGGGTTATTACTATTTTCGGGGGACATTTTAAGGATTATTTATATAATAATATATCAAAATATTGAAATACTTAACAAAAATAAACAAACTTTGACAACAGCTCAGCTCATAACCTACTTTTGTTTTTGACCCCTCTGTCTTCTGTCTGTTGTGGCCTCTTACTGTTTGTTATAGTATCATGGCCTCTTACTATGTAAGAATAAGAATGTAATATCCCTGGTCCCATTAACCGTGGCCGACTTTATTGTGAACCTTGTGAATGCTTGGGAGCCTCAAGACGGTAATGCCACAGAATAATAAACAAATTGTTTATCTGTGTTAATTGTTAATAACAATTCTGTGGTAATGCCACAGAATAATTAATAATTGTTTATTATTCTGTGGTAATGCTTTAACAGATTTACGAGGGCCGTGCTATATCCATCGAGCAAAAAGACAATAGAGGGAATGTAAAGGTAGTGGGGGCAAACATATTGTTAGACAGGAAGTGCGATCTTTAGAGGCCACTTTAAACAAGGAAAGAGAGTCTCTCTCCTTGTTTGACATCAAATTTAGTTGGGTTATGTTATTGTTTATCCCAAATGTCACATGAAATCTTATTTATATTGAAGTTTTTTAACAATTGTGTCGCATTTTAGACTCTTATCATTAATAATTAATTAAAACTTTCTCGTCTAAGACACATTTTGAAAAATATTATATAGCTACTGTTGATAAGTGTCGGAAAATTTAAATTTCGCGCATTCGCATTTCCGGATATGTCCGCCATCAGAGGCCACTTTTTTGGTCTCCTTTTCATAAGGATTAGATTCCCTCTTTTGTCTTATTGCTCGATGGCTATATCCCATCTCCCTTTTATCTTTCATAGTTTTAAGATTTTTATATCTTTCATCTTTAGATAAATTGGTAGTTTTGCTTGTAGTTTATTGTGTGATTACTTTATATCGTCCAATAGTAATTTATTCATCATTCTAGATTTCCCTTTTATTCTGGGTCCATTTATTCCTGCCTTCTGTTTGTCTCTTCCACAATGGACCAGTTAGCTAATATCATTTTAGTTTTAGTTTTGTTCGAGGTCTTAAAAGACAGTTTTTTTATTGTTCACGATTTAACTTCATAATAATATAGAACACTGAATAGTGGAAATATACCCAAGATGCTGAACACTGAATAGGGGAAATATGACTAAGATGCTGCCTTTGATGGCATACCACGTGTAATTTGTAAATCATTTCCTGTCGAACGATATCGGCTGCATAGGCATGCGAATAGACAGTGTTTATTTGCAACGGTAAAGTTCCACAGATAAGTATGTAACGGAAAGTGTGATTTGTTGAGTGTTGAACTATTATAACGCACGTTAACATAAGCAGTTTTTTGTCGCTTCTCGTCTGAAGTTAAAGTATCCTGTTCTCGGACGCGACCAGTTCACGTTCGAGACGCATCGCCCCGCCCCTTATTTTTCCTGTTGGCCCCTCCCTGACCTGGAAATCCCTAATCACTACTTCGGAAAGTATAAAAATTGCGATTTTCAGGTCAATCAGTTCAGTCCTTCACGGGCGCTCCGAGAGCTTAGTGCTCTCGGGGCGCTGCTTTTCTTGTTTTTAGCTTTCCTATACTCTGTGGCTGAGTATTTTATTCCAACAATATTTGGTGTTATTATTTCGACTACCTACTTTTGTTCATGTAAGAAATATCTTGCCTTTATCAAGGCCTTTATCGTCTTTCTCAAGACGAGTCATCAGAAGAAAACCTTTTACGAATCCATACCCCGCAAATGGATTCAAGTAGAGGGGCTTTCGTCGACGTTTCCGAAGCCCTCTACAGAGCACCCGGAGACAATAGAAGGATGTCAGACCCCTATTTGTTCCCCCGCGGTGACAATCCAAAGTGTGCAATTTTGATTAGTATTAAGCTTCAGTACGTAATGCATTTTAACTTCTGCCATTCTGGTGCTAGAAGATAACGCTCTGCTTTAAATCTGATGCGTACTTGCCTATGACGGCATAGCAGATGTGTTCCAATGATGGCACAGTATGTCATCATGTGCACATGTTACATGGAAAATGAATAATAATTGCAAACATTTCAAAAACTCAAATTTTACTTATCTTAAGGTAAAAGTAGATAAACAATACCATTTTGTAGAGTTTTTAAAACAAATTTGAAGCTTTCAAATCGCACAAAATAGTCAATAGCAAATTTAAGTGTATATCTGAAATATCCTTAAAGGTTTAGTACAGTCCTTAAAAATTGGATTGTCGTTATCTAGCTTATATCTTAGTTATACCTTAAACAGTCGAATATCTCCTGATATCAGATATAAAGGCTTTGTTTTTTTGCAGGATCTTTGTTAATATGGCGTCTACCAAGAAACGAAGGCAGGAGTGGTCGGAAGAGAACATGAATATGGCAATTCAACACATCCAAGAAAAGAAGATGGGATGGCTATTGGCTTCCAAAACTTTTAATGTTCCGGCTACGACACTCCGTAGAAGTTTTGCAAATAACTCCGGTGGAAGAAAAGGAGATTTGGGTGGCAGAAGTATTACACTACCTCCTCATCTTGAGCAAGAGTTAGCTACTCATGTGATTGATATGGAAACAAGATTTTTTAGTCTCACAACGCTAGATTTAACACGATTAGTTTTCAAACTTGCTGAGAGGAATAACATCAAACACAAAATCAACAAAACGACTTGTCTGGATGGAAGTGGGTGAGGGTTTTTTTAAAAAGAAATAGTACCATTTCACTCAGAATACCAGAAAACACATCTCTCGCGCGAGCACAAGCATTTAATAAGAACAATATTAAAGCATACTTTATCTCTTAAGCAAAAGTTTTAGATACATACAATTTTCAATCCGAAAATATATTCAACGTTGATGAATCAGATCTTAGTACTGTTCAAATAAGGCCTCAAAAAGTGTTTGCAACCAAGGGACGGAAACCAGTTGTATGTTTAACAGTTGTATGTTCAATGAATGCAATTGGTACTTTTGTATCATCTGCATTTATTTTTCTCAGAAAAAGGTTCAAAAATGAAGTAATGGACGTTGCCCTACCGGAAAGTGTTGCTTTTAGACAGGAGAAAGGGTGGATGTCTTCAGACATTTTTGTTCAATGGCTTAAACATTTTATTCACTATACCAAAGGTTCGAATGAGAACAAAATACTATTACCGTTAGATGGCTACAGTACAGTAGTTATAAGGGACTAGAAGTCTTACAAGTTGCAAAAGAGAATGGTATTGTATATTTCTGCTTTCCACCACACTGTTTCCACCGGGTGCAGCCACTCGACGTGGGCTTTTTTAGTCCTCTACAAACCTATTATAACCAAGAAATGCAAAATTGGTTAAAACAAAATCCTGGAAGACTCGTTACGCACTTTTAAGTTGCTGGGTTGTTTAAAACAGCTTACCTTAAAAATGCTACTCCTGCTAATGCCATAAATGCCTTTGCCAAAACAGGGATTCAAGGAATGGATGTTCGCTCCATCATTGGTTACAGATAAACCTATAGAGAGCAATCAAGATCGAACTCAAAACATCCATCTAAACAATCCAGCTTATAATCTAGAAGAAAACCTAGAAAGTGGACAAAATCACCCACCTAAAGACTGCCAACGGGTCCTTCTAGAAAATACTCAACAAGATACTCTTCACATAAAAATCCAAGATTGATCACCCACTCCAAGTGTTTCGCAGTCAAACACAAAAAAAAACAAAAAAAGTGTGGAAAAACAGGGGTAATAAATTCAACCCCTGAAATTCAAGAATTGAAAGATAAGGTTGTTGAAAAAGAAAATGTAGAACGAAGAAAACTGACAAACAAAGTTAAACGACAAATAAAACAGAAGATAGAACCTAACACAGTTACCTAACACTGTACAACAGTATAGAAAAGATAACATCGTAGTACCTTATTTTTATGGACAATGATAAATCGTGGAATTTTCACGGCTTCAACATCTTCTACTGCTTCTTGAAAGATTTTCTCAGAGTATAATATGTTAAAAAGGAAGGCCGATAGTATACATCCCTATTGAACCCCACGTTTGATTTTTATATCGTTGAATTCTTCTGCCTCTGTATGGATAGACGATGTCTGATTTCAGTAAAGATTGCTAATAATTCTTAGATCACCACTTCATCTGATGTGAATTGGTAAGTGGTCATTACATATGTAGGACGGAGGTTGTTCGGACCTATTATCATCAAAGAGTTCTTGTATGTATTTGGTCCATATGTATATTTCTTAATTTTTATCTGTGAAGATATTCCCTTGTTGATCTTGCAGTTTGCTAGCTGTGTTGGATTTTTGAAGACCAGCTGCTTGTTTTACCTTTTTATGCATATTAAATCTATCGTTTTTTTGTTCCAACGTTATTTTTTCACACTGTGTTTTTAAATAATTTTCTTTGGACTTTCGTATTTCGATTCTTATTTGTCTCTAAGTATTTTTGTACATTCTTTTGTTATTCTTTGATTTTCTTCTTTCTTCCATGAGTTGCGGGATATTGTCATTTATCCAACTTTTCCTCTTCTCTTTATTTTCTATTAGAGGTTCTTCTCTGATCTTGTTAAAGGTTTCACATATATTCTGGAGTGATTCTGGATCATATGTTGCTAATCTATGTTACTATGTTTTCTGAAAGAATCCGTGCGACTGTATTCTTTGTTTCCTTATATTTTCGTCTTCTCATATCACATTTTTTGTTATTATTCTTTTTTGTAACCTTTTTAAAACTAAACCTAAATTTACCAATAACAGGAATATGATCTGACGATATATCAGCACCGAGATAACTTTTAACTGATAGGCATCCATTACTGAATCTCTTGTTCACCATTATGTAATCAACTTGATTCTTTATTATGTTTCCTGGTTGATCTTGCGGAGAGACCCAAGTATACAAACGTCTTGGTGGTAGTTTGAAGAACGTATTTAAATTGGTTAAGCATATCTATCTACTCCCATTTATTGTAGCTTGCAGGTCGATGCAGGTTTCACCTCCGTAGTT